ATATATATATATATATTTCTAACAGTAGCCCCAACACTCCACTGCAGGCCAGTGGAGTGTTGCAGGTTAAACAGGCTGGGGTAAATGCACCAATACCATAGACTATAGAGTTACAGAAAGAATTACTTTTAGGCCTTTAGAAATTGAAGGCGGGGCAAAATAAATTATTAGAAAGTACAGAAATAATGGCAGAACTACATCCATACCACCACTGACCCCAATCAAAACCAGCATATGCTCCACAGCTGTCTAGATTTTCACCTACGACCATATCGAAGACACATTTCCCCTCTCATGGAATTATACATGACCAAAGGTGAATCATTAGAATTCATTAATGCATCACACAATGTGGTTTGATTTCATTCAGTGTTGCAAGGAGAACTAGGAAGAGACGAAGAACACCTCCTGCGCTGCACTCGAAGCTGGGAGAATCAGCGCACAGCTCAAAACTCTGATCAGGAATTATTAAACCAACACTTTCTGTTTCATCTAAGACCAGAGAGAAACACATTTGGCAGAGGAGAAGAGAGAAAATGAGAGAGGGGAGATGAAGAAGAAAGTAAAAAAAGGATGAGAGGGGCAGAGAGGGAAGAGTAGATAAAGAGAAGGAAGAAGATGGAGGCAGATGGAAGAAGGGAGGAGAGAAGGAGGAGGCAACAGAGAGGAATGGGGGGTAATAATGAGCACATCTTTGATGCTAGCAATGTACAGTGTTAGAATATTTCAAACTAGAATTCTCGCTTGACCCTCAGGGGAAGACTGAAACCTCACTCTGCCTATCCTTCCTCCTCTTCCTCTTTCCTTGTGAGGAATTTTCCGATTTCCAGATTCAATATTCTGTTGCAGGACTTCAAAAACATCCTACAGGTCTGACTCCCCTGTATGTTGGTGTGTTAACACTGAGAATATGTGTGTGAATATCCATATCTTCTTATTTATGTGCATCTGTTTAAAGTCTGTATTCAAACATTCTGTTTGAGTCAGACATCATAAATATATGTTTTTCTTTTCCTTCACGTTCTGCAACCTGAATACCTGGGGACATGATACCACTTGTGCACATGTTAAGTATAAACAGCTTATCCTCACCATGACCTTAACCATTCAATCTGTAAAAAAAGAGGGAGCAAATGAAAAACTGAGCACACAAAACAGTGGCCATGCTTTTCCACTCACCTGCTGTTTAACTGCTTATCTGTTGGCATTTATTTTTTTAGTTCTTTCACATCAAAAAGCTTGGTCAGTTATTCTTGTGGCAGCAGAAGCAGACTTACGTTCTTGTATGACATTATATAAGATTCAACAGCTGATGTAGCCCTACCAACATAAATTGGAAAACTGGAAAGCACCAACACCACCATCACCTGAAGTGAACGGTTAAATTGGGTGGGGGGGCTGCAAAGATGAAGCAGTGATCTGCCCACAATGCTGACTCAGTCTTATCAGCATGTAAGCCAGCAGACTGGATTAAAGAATCACCTACAAACCTGCTAAACTGTCTTTGGCAAGCACACACATGCACAAAGACACAACAGCACTTAAACACACACAGTAACACACTCGCTTATACAGACAGGCACAGCTTTGTGGAGATTAATGTGTCTATTTCTGTGATTACATAGTCACCATTTTCACACTTATCACAATATTCTTATAAGCCCAAAACAGGCTTTCAACACAACAGCAGGTCTGACAATAAATAATGTACACCAGTATATGTAAAGTATGTTTTACATGTTTTATTTACAGGTAAGACTAAACCCTGAATTTAAAGATTGAATTATTATGATTGTTATAGTGTAATACCATGTTGCATACTTTTTCATGTTGCACATTCCTTGTTGCAATAACAAGCTCCTTCGGTAGTTATCCTGTTGGTACTAACACTGAAGGAATATTACTTTATATTAAAGTTTTACTATGCCAGTTTGTATGAGAATTTAGCTGTACATGTGACTTTATCTTCTGATTCTCATGAACTCGCAGCAGAGCACATCGCTGTCCCCCAAAGCAGTCCATAATCATAAAAGCGATGTGCTGGTTGAACTAGTCAAAATTATAATTTGAGAAGAGAATATATGTATTTGTGTGTTTTACATGTTATCAAACAAATCCCTCTGGATCTGCGTCATGTCATGTGGTTTCATGAATGTAGTTTTTACACCAGCCCTGCATTTAATGAAGAACTTCAGACAGTGCTTTACTAGTGGAAAATATTCCCGAAGGTTCATATTAAGCCACAACCGTGATTCGACGCTGCGCTACTACAGCTGCAGTTCATCTGCCTGTCTGGAAAGAGAAACTTTGCCTTGGTTGGTATTTGGCTTACATTTGAACATGCACTGGGGATTATTTCCTCAACACTGCTTTTTTGCCAAAAAGGCAGAAAATGATCTCTGGCCTATAAAATGATTAAAAGGGAGCCTTAACAAAACAGGGTGATGAAAATGAAAGCATCAACAAATCCCCAAAAAATCTGCTGAAAAAATAAAATAAAAGATGAGCAGTTACTGAGTGTGTCATATGATGTAACCTGCTGGAAATGATGGCTGGTGATGTGGTTTAGTTAGTTGGCTATGTAATGGAGACCATGCAGCCATCTTTGGTACTGTGGTGGAAACAGACCAGACAAACGTCTATCTATCTCCTTGTATATGTCCTTTACAGAGCACCCTAATGCCACATCAGCACTGTTCACACAGCATTAAACACAGCCAGAATATAACTACATTACACTGTGCCTATGTGTGTGTCTATGAATGTGAATGCTGTACTGAAGTCAACTTAGATTGGAACCTCATTACTGACAGAGTGTGACTTAGTGTTTATGTGTGCGTTCTGTATCTCTTTAAGTGTAGTCTGTGTGTGTGTGTGTGCGTGATAGATGAAACTGAACACTTTACATATTTTTCCTCTCCTCTAATAGGTTGGTGTTCATGGAAACATCGATCTCCCTCTCTCTCCCTCCATCTATCCTGCCTCTCTCTATCTTTCCCTCTTTCTTACTGTCACCCTCATCGTCTCTTTCTTTCTAATTGGCTGCTGCATTCCTTCTTTCCATCCATCTATGGCTCCTAGCCAATGAGGCGACAGAATTGGATTTCTGCTTGATAAAGCACTTCCCTTGGTTGTCGTGGAGACAATAAGGTGGGGGAGGCTCCTCCTTACCCATACCATAATACAATCTAGGGAAACCTTGAAGATACAGTTACTTTAGGAATATCTGAAACACCTGGTGAGCCACACAGTCAGTGATGTAAAGAGGGCACAGACAGGGCCAGGGAATAATAGATTGTCTGTGACAGTATTACAGTAAACCCTCTGCCATCCGCTCCCCTTGAATGTGCTTCCACCTAGACTGTATAAATTGTGCCATTGTGAGAAGAGTCGGGCTTTAGCTGATGAAGACTGATGGCCGGAGTTTGTAGCAACTTAGTGTTTTCCCCCTACTTCTGTTTCATTGAGCTGAATCCACCAGGTGCCTCCTTTTTAGATACCAACTCAGAACAGGAACCTGTAGGAAAAGGCTATGCATGGCTTTTTTATGGTTGCTATGCACCTACTGTGCTGAAAAAATTTATTTGAATCATAATGCTCTTTTTCCAAATATTTAACATTTCTTAACCTTAGCTTGATAAAAAATGCTACGCTGTTCATGCTGTCAAAAAGATGCAGAAGCAGGCTATTTTAATGACTAACAGCAAGCAAAAGACGCCAGTGCAGTGCTTTGTTGTTGTTGTCTTTTGTCTTTCTGCCTCATGGCTTCAGTGTGTACATCTGGTTTCTGTAGGCCTTAAGATAATTGTAAAAGCCTACCCAAATGTGTAACTTCCCCTTCTCAGTCAAAGCTGTAGTATTACTTTTTCTCTGTGTTTATCATAGTGGTGTTAACTAGATATGCAGCATGGCAACACTGCAGTGGTCTTCTTGTATTCATGGGTTATGCATTACACTGTGCATGCAAATGTGTATGAAGTGACGCAAAGCCAGTTCATACTTAATGCTGTCATTTCATGTAACAGAGCAAGATATCACATTTGCATGTGCTAGCTGTGCGTCCAGCTGTGTTAGTGAACTAAAAAAATAGTAGAAATGATGTTACCACAACTTTCATCTTATCTCATGCATCATAAACACATGGTTTGAAGAAAGTGCTTTGACTAGCTGATATCACAGAAGATGGGAACAGGGGAACAGCAAAAGAAGAAACTAAATGATGGGGAAAATGAAAAGATGTATAGTAAAGTCTGTTTTTTGAGAGAAGAGAAGAGAAGAGAAGAGAAGAGAAAAGTCTAGTAATGGCCATCCCGTCATGCCACCCCCAAGGTTAAATGAGAACAGGAGAGAATGAATTGGCTCTAAAGGCTCATTCTGCCAAAACTAAATGAAGCAATAACATCAGAGAGCTATAGAACCCCATTAACACTTAACCTGAGAGAGAAGGAGCAGAGTGGTAGGCAGTCAGAGAGGAAGAGAGGGATAGAAGGAATGGGTCTAACAGAGACAAAGAGAAGAGAGTGTGAGCTATAGAAACCCTGCGTCCCTTTACCTTCAGAGTATGAGAAGGAGACAGTGAGAGATGTAGAATATGTGTGAGAATGGGTGCAATGGAGAGAGCGATACGGGAGAAACAGTGAAAAACAGATTTTTCCCCTCAAGTGCCCTCTCCCTCCCTCTCTGCGTCCTCTCTTTCTCCATAGTAATTTGATGGTTTCAGGCTGAGCTCTTTAATGAAGAATCTGGGTAATTCTGAGGACAGAGCCTCTGGGAGTGAGGGAGGAGGAGGGATGGGCAGTGTAAAAAAGACAGAAAAAGAGGGATGAGACAGGGAGAATGAGAGAAAAGGAGTAAAGGATGAAATAGGGAGAGACGTGTACAAGCAATAAAAAAAAGAGATGTTCTGCAAGTGGGAGAGGCCGGCTCAGTTGGGACTATTCCCTTTCTCTGAACGTGTTGTGGTGCTTGCACCATCACCCTTTTTTTTCAGCCTCAGACTCTCGCTCTTTTCCGGGTCTCAGTGTGTGTTTGTGTGTCGTGTTGCCTTCTCCCCTCAGGAGATCAACTGCCCACTCACTCGCCCACTAAGCTACCCCTCACTCCCCCATCAGCCTCCTAATTGAGGACAGGTTTTTACTGGAGTTCGCCAGATCATCGATGCTCTCGTTCTGTTCTTGCCTGCTACCTGTTGTTTACCTGCCAATTCCCCACTGTTTGTTTGCCTCGACCACCTGCCCAACATAAGCCTGCTTTTGAACTAGTAAATTACCTTTGACTCCACTAGATGTGTCTCTGAATCTGCAATTTCCTGGTGCGACACTACTTTACCCATGGAACGGGGGATGTGAATTCTGGAACCAACCTGAACCTACATAGACTGAAATTCCCTTAAAACTAATGGGGAGCTAAGCCTTAACTGGTAAGTGACCAATGTCTGTATACCAAACCATGTATTTTTGTAACCTTGAAACTGATTATTACAAAGTCAGCATTGTATGATATATGGATAAAGTAATTCATGTGATTTATTTTCCGATATATTAAAAGCCTCTATAATCTTTGATCCCCCTTTTTCATTAAATAAATGTGTACTAAAATGTATGATATTGGCTTTAAGTATAGCTCTTCTCAGAATAATAATACTTAGGTTGCTCCTTTAAATCATAACGCTCTGAAGTAGTAGTTAAAAGTATACCTTCAGATTGATTGATTAATGCTTTTGGCTCCACCAACTTTAAAGCATCCTTCTGTAAATGTTGATTTAAATATCAGTTTCTAGATTTAAATATCGACATGCCCTCCCATGTTCTTCTTTACAGGTACCCCTGCTTGAATACATCGGGGTTTTACACAATTTCTATAACTGATCAATGTGACTATAGTCCAGGGGTACTATATATATATATATATATATATATGTATATTTCCAAAGACATGCAGGTCAGATATGTTATAAAAAACAATTTGCATACCAGCTCTGACCAGGTCGGGTTGACTTTGAAAACACATAATCTTCATAAGCATCTTTAGGAGATTAAGACACAACAACTTTTTTACTAGGATGTGGCTTAATGTTACAGATTGCTATTATTTTTATAGAGTTGAGGCAGAAGCCATCCATGCTGGATATTAAGTTTCTCTTTGACTTATGCTGCACACTTAATTTAACTAATTAACTAAAACAAATTTTTATTTAGGTTTTTACTGTCTCCATGTGCATTTTTGCCACTGAAAAAAATAATTGCCACAGTTCCAAGAGGGAAACATAAGACTCTTTTAATGAGTGAATTTTTGAATGTGATCTTTAAAAGTTATTTTATCTGCTCAGTCAGTTTTCCACACTAGTTTGCAGGTAACAGAGCTGAGTGCAGTACTATCTTAAAATCAGCTTAAGGCAGCACTTGGTGTAAACCATTTGGACTGAGCTCTAATTTCCAATGTGTGTTCAAGTATGGGTTTGTCTCTGTGTTTGTCTCTTTTTTTTAATTATAATTATTTCGAGGGCGAGAGCAAAGTGGGAAAGAAAGAATGGTCAGCCGTATTAGCTGAACCAGTTACATTGTGGTTTATGTGGTACGTGTATTATGTCCATCCACTTCAAGTCAGATACCGTACAAATTTACAGTGAAGACCTTTAGTTTGATGAAGTGTCGTATAAGACATGTATACTGTGTGGGGCAATGTATTACATGACATATCTATGATTCAGTATGATGCAGGACATATTGTATATATGATGTACTGTGATAAAAGACATGCATGTGATTCAGTATGGTTCATGACATATAGAACATTAAAGTATATGATAAGGTAAAGCCTTTAAAGATAAAGGGCTGTAAAAATGACCTGATGTAGCTTAACTTCATCTGGTCTTCATTTAGGGCAATGTGTTTGGCAATATCCATAATCATACATAAAACATACACATTCATTTTCAACTTCTAATACACACACAAACACACACACACAGGGTGCAGACAAAAGGACATTAGTACTATAGCCTTCAACAGTCACATACACATTGTAGCCTTCAACAGAGAATGTATTGCTCTAGGCCATAAAACACAGGCCTTGGGCAGTGACACAGACAGTTGTGTGTGAGAGTAAGGGGGAGAGAGAGAAAGAGAGAGAGAGAGACAGTGGTTTTGAGCAAGTACCAAGCCAAAAACTGTGTGAGTGTGTGTGTATTTGCATGGGTGTTAAAAGATCTACTGCCTTTATTTGAGCAAACATGTATGTGAAAGTGTGTCAGTGTGCGTGTGACTGTGCGCATATGTGTATGTGTGTCCCTACAGTGCTGACGCAGGTGTTGCCATTGACGACAGAGCGGTCACCACAGTGACCCTGAGTGGAATAAGGATGTGTCTCCTGAATACCAATCAGATTTCTCCTGGGACATAAAGCGACCAATCGCAACTATCCATCTAACCTACAGCCTATCGTCTGCCCCTTTGCAGGATTAACCAATCTCACAGAATTAGACACTGATATGCTCTGACTAGCATATAATTTACAGTACCTCCTACATGAATTATTATCAGCACATTTTAATTATGTAAAAATGCTGCTAAACTAACTTTGTAAATGCCTGTAAGAACTGCTGTGTTATATCAATTAAAAATTACACTGAATGCATAAAATTCTCATGGAGAAGTGCCTGTGAGCTAGTTCAGGCGCACAACTTGAGCTACACTCAAACATGACGTACTGTCTCACTACAGCATACTGTATATCCGACACACTTTTTACAATGAGGACTTTAAGACGATGTGCACTCCCCACTCTTGCTCTGCCAATGCTGTTATTGCTTATTTAACATTTTATAAGCCCCACTTCCTTCCCATCATTTACCTGTAGGCTTAAAGTTCCCCTTTTGGTGGGAGTTATTATTGTCACCCCTAACACTTCTCTTTTTATAGCTTTAGTACACTTGCAGGGAGTAATGAAACTGCAGCATACACGCGAAATAGTGTGACTCCAAATATGCATTCACATAATAATACATGCACATAAGTTGTGGAGCATAAAGCCCCATGTACCAGAAGAGAGATATTCTGCAAAGACATACTTTAAAATACTTGTTTTACAACTGATTGAGCAGTTGATGTTTGGTTTGGTTTGGTTGACATTAGGCTATAATTTAAAGCAATAAACAGATCAAATAGTTATTTACCACTTTAGTTCCAAAATGATTAATGAGCGATATCTGTTAATTAACAACAATTTGAATTTGAGAGTTTGTTTGACAGAGAGCCGGAGACACAAAGAGGGAGAGAAGGAGACTTACCTTATTGGGATTTGAAGCAGTAATTATCCACACACACTGTGCGTTGCTCTCATACTGAATTGGGAAGTTAGGAGATGTAAAGGTTCCTGACGGCCCTTGAAGATTACTGCCACATGTCTTCACTGTAAAGAGAAAAAACACAATGTCCTTGTTATTAGTGGCGACTGTGGAATTAGCAGTGGTATTAGCAGCAGCAGTGGTGCACTGTGGATTCACTGCACTACAACAGAGAGACAATTACCTTTATAATGAAACCATTTAGGTGACGCTTAGCTGGAGATTCTGAGCAAAAAAAGCCACCAGCAAAATATAGCATAATGTAATTGGTAATATGGAACACTTGCACACGCGCCACTCAGGTAGGCAGTGTTAACGAACCCTTGTGGATCACCGGAGCAGTCTACTAAAAACAGCTTAAAGTGACACAAATACAATTTCTTAGAGTTTGGTGACAGAAAGAGAAGAGAAGACTCAAGTGCAGTACAGAAAGAGGAACAGAAGGTCAGAAAGATGTTATTGATACTGTCAGCGACATCTCCCTCGATAGCAGGACTTAATTGGAAGCTATTGGCTGTGAAATACCACAGGATTAGCTAGTATTGACTGATAGAGACACTCACCAGCAATTTACTCTCAAAATCTGTTGAAAGTCAACCAATTCCAACTACTAGCTGGGTAATAATTACATCCATTTTAAAATAAAGTAAAACACGGGGAACACAGATCTTACATTAGATATCACACGATGACATAACAGATACCATGGCCTATATCTGCTCGAGCAATGAAATTAGACTTGGATGACCAGCAGTGTAAAAGTGCACAACTGTGTGGTTTGAGAGCAGATTCTCTATGTGAATCCATAGGAGAATAGTACTATATGTCAACACTAACTCTGAAGCTACACTCAGCGGGGTGTTAAAAATGACACATGCTAGTTGTTCGATAAACCAACCAAGCCTTTATTAGGCTGTGTGCTCTGACTGGATGTGATAGAGAACCTGCTTGTCTGTCCTTGGGTCGTCCTGTTAGAGTTGGGAGGTAATTTTCTGGTTGGTTTGAAGCAGTGTTTGTTCCTTAATTAGTTTGTTCAGCGGCAGGCCGCAGGAACACGTACAGTTAACAGCCGCGCGCGCACACACAAAACAAAAGCACATGAGCATGAATGCTCCTATGGTCGCATTTTACAAACAGGCAGATGTGCACAAACAGTCACACATATTTTACATGCACACATAATTAGTAGTGTCACAAAAGAATTTGCGTGTGAAAATACATGAGAGCACTCACAAGGGCATGCATCCAAACACACATCACTGTATATACAATGCACACAGTTCATAAAGAGTCATACTTTTAAGCACTCACACTCCTACAAACACACTCCTGGCTGCTATTGTGACTTCAAATGCAGGCAGGGGACAAGTAAAAGAATCATACCACGGTGTGTTTGTGTGTGTGTTTCTTTGTGTGTGTAATGGGGTGTGTCCGTGAGGTGCTGTAAGAGTGTCAGAACAAGTACAAGACCCCTTAGAGAAAACCCTATATGCCTCTTGTCTGTCTCTCTGTCTGTTTCTCTGTGTTTCCCTGTCTCTCTGTCTTCTGGATCGCTGCCTGAGTTCCCCCTGACTGAACCCAGGTGATGCTTGTTTCTCTAATTCTCAATGCAGCTTCGGTTGACCTTCTCTTGTGTACAACTCACTGCAATTTATAAACTGATAGGGATGAAGTGTGTGTGTCTGTGTGTGTGTGTGTGTGTTTGAGTTGCACGTGAGAAATGATTTATCTGCATGTCTCAAAGAGTGTGTGTGTCTTTGTAACAGTGTGTGTACGTGCGTGTGTGTTGACAGCTCAATCAGCGTGGCCTGAACGAATGGCCGGCCCATCAGCGTGCCAGCAGCAGAATGGGCACGGTGTTGCTATAGCGATAGCGCGGAGAGAGTTATCACCAGAATTACCGGAGGAGCTAACATCTCATAATTTATATTAAACTCCATCCATCTCTTGGCCTGCATGTCTTTCTCTCTTTCTGTCCTTCTCTCTGTACTTTTTATTCACGCTGTCTTAGCCCCTATCAGCCATTATATGATTTACATTACACTCTATCATTTGTTCTTAAGAGTCTATCCATCTGTCTTGCTCTCTATTTCTTCGTAACCTTTTTTGCTGGTGTCTTCTGTATGTTTCACCGATCAGAGGTGGATTCTACCGATAGTGTACTTACTCAAGTACTACAATTAAGTACAATTTTGAGGGACTTACTTTAATTCTACCTGACTACATTACAAATTTTCTTTTTTTATTCCACTACATTTATCTTCTCACTATAGTTAGTTTGCTGCAGCATCAGTTTATAAAGTTTGATGTGTTGCTATAGCTTAAACTAGCCAGCAGTAACTGGAGTAGTTAAACGTAGCTAGCTTGTACTCACCCCACAGCAACAATAAAATGCTACAATGCATTGTAAATAATACTGTACTGTATTTTATTTCTGTTCTTTTACAGCTGCAAACTGTACACACAACTGGCATACTGTATTATCATCTTATAAAGTTGCTTACTTCACCTACCCTACTGGCAAACAATTGCCTATTTACAAATCAAGCAGACATTAGCATTCATGTGGAGTTTTTCTCTCTGACAACCTGATGCGTATTAGTCCAATATTTCCTCTTTTATTTAGTGCCGCTTTGGTTTCTGCCATGTGTAAAGAAACATATCTGGCTCTTTAGCAGCTACACTGCTGGCAAGTTGCTAAAATTGCTCGTCCGCAGTTTGCTGCCTGGGCAGGTAGGATAAAGTGGGTTTATCAGAGATATTTCACATAAAAAATCTGCTTGCTGAGGCTAGAAATTAAATTGGTGAGTTTGTAGGCTGGAAAACAAAAAACAATTAGCTAAAAGATGTTTAAAAGCTCCGTAGAGGTGCACAACTGGGTGCTAATTCTCTGTGGCTTTATCACTAAGAGTGACACCTTTTACATTATACATTGTCATTTAATTCATTGTTAATATAAACATAATGTGCACCTTTAAGTGAGAATCTGAATGCATGTCTTTTATGCATAAAAATATTTTCATAATGGTTGTTTCACTTTCTCTGTTAGCCTCTCTTTCAGTCTGTGTATCTCTGTCCCTCTCCGTATCTCTTTCTCTCCCTCTCTCTTTCTCTCCCTCTCATCATTATTTATACTGGCGCACAGTATAGAGGGCTCAAAGCCAAAAGGGCCACACTATCATTGAAGCGATAATGAATTCTAGATCAAATTAAAAATTTTGATGAGGTCTATCTCGTACTAAAAGCATATTGTTGGAATCACAAGCGAGATTAACTGAATGCTTTAGACAGGAACTGAAGTGAGAATGCGTGTGTGTGTGTGTGTGTGTGTGTGTGAAGAGTTTATATATTCAGATCAACTGGATTCCCCCAGGATTCTCACTTTCGCTCTCGCTCTAACACACAAATACACAAACATGCATACTCGCATAAACCGTTGGGATGCGGACCAAAATTAAATGATGTTTCAGGCAAGGATCACATTGCCAAAACCTACTGTCGCTCTAATGCCCTTGGTCACAGTTCTCCAAAGTTTTATGGCTTCAAAACATAACTGACACGGCCCATACGCACTGGGAAGGTTGCTGGGAGAAATGTTTTTTGAATCTGAATTTTATTGGTGTTCAGCTTCACAATGTTTTGACTTGGTTCTCCATTCTAGCATAGCAGAGACTCATAAGTGTTTCCTTCAGTCGGACTCAAGGTCTATAACTTTGCTGCTTTCTCAGCAGGATGGCCTTTGCGGTTAGTGAGTCGTCCCCCCAGTGGAGGGCTCAAGTTCAATCATCCATACAGTAATACCTGCTGAAGCATACCAAGGACACTTAACCCCTACCTGTTCCAGATTACATGCCTGACCCTGCACCCCAACCAGAGAGCATAAACAGAATTGGGGGAGAGGTAAATCAAATAGAAAAGAAAATCGAATCATACGGATGAGTTTTCAAAAGTACACAATTCATGGGCAGATTTGGAAATGGCATGCTACTGGGCCAGCTTGGTACAAATATACCTTTGTTCCCAGTAATGGTTTATAAGCAGCTGAAGCTTTGGATGTTTTTTTGCAAATATGTTACTCGTGGTTTGTCTAATCCCCTCTAACAAGTAAACATCACCCAGCTTTCAATGAAGAGAATTTTCTGAGCTCATAAACTCAGGAATCAATCAATGGTTTTCCTCTGTGACATTGTATATAATCTACCAGTCCATCACAAAATGCCTACAAGCTAAGTGTAAGGTGATATTTAAAAATAGTTAACTTCACTATGATGGAAATTTCTCCAACAAAAGGAACTTCATGATTAAAGTATATTAATTATTAAAGGAACATCCCCATAAAAGGAAATTTCTTATTAAAGTAACTTTGACAAGGATGATGTGTAACCAACTAGATGGGTAAGCTCAAAATGAAAACCTCAAATCATAATTTTGACAGAAAGGGTTAGGGGGTATCTTCTATTTTTGTGTCAATAACAAGGATACAAATATTACTTGTCAGGTTATCATGTTCATTTTTAATTACAGGTACCCCTTTGTCTGGAGTGTGTTTGACAGTTTTGTATGATACCAACAAAACTAACAAATTTAAGTTTGAATGAAAAAGTCAAAGTCAGAAAATGTACACATACGAGTAAACTAAACTGCAGCCAACTTTGTATAAAGTTCATGTGTTCACACTGAAGTTAGATCACAGTGTTGAGTCAGATTAGAGATCAGAAGCTTTTGCAGAAAGGCCGAACCGGCTGTTCTAACGGGCTGCCTACAGCAGCAGATAGATTGACCAATGGACACAGAGAATGATTGATGACATCATTAAGCTGGCACACAGCGTTCCAATGGCCCTTGCTCTGGTTGGAGCTTTAATGGCTTCACACACACACTCACACACACACACACACACAAATGTGAGACAGACAGACATTTATTGTAGTTGTTGTACAGTGGCTGTACACTTGAGTTTCTTACCATTTTTCTCTCTGTCTTTCTTTCCTGTTTCCTGAAATGAACATATGTGCGTGTGTGTGTGTGTGTGTGTGTATCAGGTTGACATGCAGTAACCTTTCAT